CACACACACACACACACACACACACACACACACACACACACACACACAAACACACAGCAGCAGCAGCACCGACTGAAATTAGAGAAATAGCCTTTTCCGTAAAAATCCAGTGTGAAATTAGAAGCTGAAGCTGTGTTGTTACAACTAAAGGAAAGAAAACACAAGTTAAAAGCTAAAAACTATAAGAAAGGGGTTAGCATTATGTAGCAAAAGGGTAGGAGCTAACAGAAAAAGGCCAGATTAAAGTTAAACGTAACAAAAACATGGCTAAAAGCTAAAAGTAGTCAAAGGCTAGTTAGCAGCAACACAGAAAAAGGCTAGCTAAAAGCTAAGAGAAGTAAAAGGCTAGCAATATGTAGCAAAAGGCTACCCAGGAGCTAACAGAAAAAGGATAAACTAAAGTTAGAGGTAACAAAAACCTGGATAAAAGCTAAAAGTAGTCAAAGGCTAGTTAGCAGCTTCACAGAAAAAGGGTAGCTAAAAGCTAAGACAAAGCAACAGGCTAGCAATATGTAGCAAAAGGCTACCCATGAGCTAACAGAAAAAAGGCTAGATTAATGTTAAAGGTAACAGTTACCTGGGTAAAGCTAAAAGTAGCCAAACGCTAGCTAGCAGCTACACAGAAAAAGGGTAGCTAAAAGCTAAGACAAAGCAACAGGCTAGCAATATGTAGCAAAAGGCTACCCGTGAGCTAACAGAAAAAAGGATAGATTAATGTTAAAGGTAACAGTTACCCGGATAAAAGCTAAAAGTAGCCAAAGGCTAGTTAGTAGTGACACAAAAATAGGCTAACTTAAAGCTAAGAGAAGTAAAAGGCTAACAATATGCAGCAAAAGGCTACCCAGGAGCTAACAGAAAAAGGATAAACTAAAGTTAGAGGTAACAAAAACCCGGATAAAAGCTAAAAGTAGTCAAAGGCTAGTTAGCAGCAACACAGAAAAAGGCTAGCTAAAAGCTACGAGATGTAAAAAGGCTAGCAATATGTAGCAAAAGGCTACACAGGAGCTAACAGAAAAAGGATAGACTAAAGTTAGAGGTAACAAAAACCTGGATAAAAGCTAAAAATTGTCAAAAGCTAGTTAGCAGCGACACAAAAAAAGGCTAAATAAAAGCTAAGACAAAGCAACAGGCTAGCGATATGTAGCAAAACGCTACCCAGGAGCTAACAGAAAATGTTAAAGGTAACAATTACCTGGATAAAGCTAAAAGTAGCCAAAGGCTAGTTAGCAGCTACACAGAAAAAGGGTAGCTAAAAGCTAAAAGAATCAAAAGGTTAGCTTTTAGAAGTCAAAAATAGCAAAAGAAATTACTTAAGGTATCATAAGAAAACAACAATAGAACAAGTAAGATAGGTAGGTGCAAAAATAAATAAAAATAAATAATTGAAGGGAACTTTATCTATTTGTAAATAAATATTTTCGAAGTTACAAAAACTAAAAATCACAGCATCCTTTCTCTGAATGGTTAGATTTTTTTCCAGTCTAAAATTACACAAAGTGTGCAAACGTGTTTAGGCTGCAAAAATAAAATCATTTCAACAAGGATGTTGAGTAAAAAGCTGAATTCATGTGAGTAAAACTGTCGGAGCTTCATGAGACTGGAGGAACATCAGCTGTTGGAGCAGCTGCCTCCAGGACAACAGTTGCTTGATGCAGATTTACAGAGACATTAAATATGGGGCTCATTTGTAAAATCTGAACTAAAAGCAACATGGAGCAGAAAACAGCTGAATGAAATAGAATTAGAGGCACTGTGATAGCTGGAGAATTACTAATTGGCAGCTTCACTCAAGTTAATTGGCACTGAGAGAAATCCCTCCTCCTGGGAGAAGTAATGACATTACAGGAGGTACTGAGATGGGAATCAGGATGGATTTTCATATTAAAACTCCAAGAACCGCACGGGTTTGATCCCTGAGCTTAAAAACAAACAGCTTCTGTTCTGAAAGGAAGAAATGTTTGCTGTTGCCCTCGTTTTTCTATTAAATCCATTTTTAAACTTTTAACAAATGTTGCTTCGGTCTGATTTAAATCTATATTCATGTCTAAATTTGAGATTATTGCACATTTAATAATACTGTAAATATTTCCAGAAACACAAAGAGTGGATGCATTTATTGAGTTTTACACGTTTTACTTAAATTTATGAAACAAATTCAGCTTTAAATCCACACAAAAACAAACAATATATCCCCCAATCATGGTTTTTAGAATGTCAACAGTTTGAACATTTGCTGCTTTTTTTATTCTAGGCTATTAAAATTCTACAAAAACTCTATTTGCGGAGTATTTTGGAATTTTAAATTGCTGGCAAGATGTTGAAAAAGAAAGGAATTTTAAGTGCTGCCTTGGTTTGAGGAAAGTTTTGTTAATTGGTTGATAATTGAAATAAATGCACTTGGTTTATTGTTATTAGCCAATCATTTTTAGATTATAGTTATTTTTGTCATTACTTGTTATGAAAAATGAGAGTCATGCAATTGGCCTGTTAGCAAAATATCTCATGAACTCCCCTGGATAGATTATCAGGAAACCCAACTGAAAATGGCCACAAATTGTTCAAGGTTTTGTTTTAAACGTTTGTGGTGGCTCATATTCAATCTCTCGTTTATAATGTAACAAAATATCTGAATCTAAAACATTAGTTTGCACCAAAATAAGTTCAAGTAGGACTGCGATAGACGTTAAAAACGATATGAAGTTGGCCTACGGTAGAAACTGACCCTCTACCGTCCTGTCATCAGTTACGTCATCACATCTGTGTCAACAGAGCTGCTATATTCTGAGAAGAAATGAAGAAATATAGAGTTTTAAAACACGGACAGAGAGAATAAATCCTCAAAAATTTTGTATGGCAGGCAGATGTTACATTTATTTGGCTTCACCACACTTACATTCCAGTTATCTAAAATAGTTTTATGACAGGACTGTGCAGCTTAAGTTCCTGTCACACTATAACAATTTAGGCAACTTAGAATATTTTTATGTCTAAATGACTAATTTTACTAGAAGTTCTGTTTATAACATCCACTTTAAATTAATATTGTTGAAAATAAGAGAAATGTTTTGTTTGTTGTTGAAACTGTTTTTCAATATATACAGTATAAAATATTCTGTTATGTTAATTTGCACTACAACAAAAATGCTGGGTTTGATTATGATTACAGTTTTCTGCTAAATAAATGCTCTAAAAATTACATTATATTTGTTTTTTATTATAATTTTCTACTGTGATATGTACCGTTATCATGAAGGGATTCAGTTTATACCCTGATATGAATGTGAGGTCATACCGCCCAGTCCTAAGTTTAAGTATCTACTTTCAGAAGCATCTGTCGTTTGACCGTCGACAACTATTTTGTGTTGAATCTATATCTATTATCAGTGTGCATTGCCAAGGCAATGCACATCATTGTGATTTGTTTCCCATCCAAGTCATCTCAACTTTGCCATGCTTCTCCTCCTGCATACTTTGTCCTAGAGCTGCCAATGTAATTTATATCTGTAAAGCCCCTGTGCCAAATGATGGCTATGCCTTTTGGTGCCTGTAAAACTTATAGTTTTTGAAATATTAATGTTTAATGAATTATAATGGCAGTCAATGGAGCCTTGTACTGGTCCAATACTGCCCCATGCTGTACTCAAGTTGGTACTGCACCATAATTTAATATTTCAACTCAGTAGTTCAGTGTTTACAATACTAATATGATTGTATTTTGATGTTTTACTATAATATTGTCTTAATACTGCTCTATTGTTGTAATATTATACATTTTTGTGTCAATAATTGTATTGGCAATGTGGCCTCTTTCTGCACACATAAAAACCAACCCCTGCCACCATCTTTTGCCACAGCTCCATTTGTCTAATGGTCTATGTCATGGACTTTCATGTGGGAGACCAGAGTTCAAACCCCAGCTGAAGCAGCTTTAACAAAAAATCTCTTCAAATTTCATATTGTCACTCAATTAACTTAATTACAAACACCTGCTGACGAGACAGGCACAAGCTGGTATAGAAAACACATTTGAACTTGGTCAAAGTTCATTCTGCAAGTCCATTGCTGCAGGCAAAGCCATGCTGCAATGACATGCTACATGGCAATGCACACTTGTTTTTACATCGTAAAAACCAATGTCTAGTAATATTCTTTTTTTCTCACTTTGAGGAGCTTTTTGTCATTTATTTTATGAGACTTTCGTCTGGCCTCCTCTGAAAACAAGCTCTCCTTTGTTGCTTTACACCAAGTTAATTACAACCATCAGTGAGGAAGAAAGATGGTGAGAAGGAAGACAAGATTAACAGACTGAGGGAGAGAGAGGGAGAGGAAGAGAAATGAATGAATGTAAGGAAAGAGGAGAATGCCAGGAGGAGGAGGAGACGAGAGGCAGTGGAGTTTAATTAGACACCAAGGATACAGGAGTCAGTGGGACAGGCATCTCCTCCAGTCTTCATCAGGGACCAACACTGAATTTAGATTATTCTTTAAAAAAAAACTTATTTGGGTTTGTGTGGGTGGTGCCTGCTCAGAGCAGTCATCGTTACAACTTCCTGTGAAGCAGAGGAAGCGGAAACATCCACAAACATCACGGCTCACCTTTAGTTTGGACTGAAACTCCCTGGATTTTCTTCTAGCCAAGACCTGGATGTGACTGGATACCTGGAGAGGAGGGAGGGAAACCAAACAGTGAGTTGCCATGGTTATGAAAGGACTGTTGCCATACTGGAGCTACACACACAGAGATGCAAAACACACACACCCTACACACAATCCACTCCCCTGAGAAGAGTGAATAGAGCAATCTGCGCACATCTTCAAAGAGGGCACCTGAGAACAGCCCGTTACGTCCCGTCTCAGCAGTGATGTAATCGTCTGTTCTGTTCAGGGTTTAGTTTGTGATGAGGTGTAGGAAAGACGTCGAAATGCTTTCATAAATGCTTCACAGTTTATAAAAGACTAAATCAATTATTCCTCAAAACCTGAGAACACATGCTCCTCCACCTGTGGCTGTGTGATTTGGGAAGTGACCGAAAGAGTTCGTCACGCACACCAAGTGCCTGAAAAGAGCTTCCATCAGAGAGGAGCTGCTGCTTCACTTCAGGAGCAGGATGAAGCACTTCTCCCAGAGAGGTGTTTCAGACGTGTGCCTTCAGGACGAGGCCTCCGGGGAGATCCAGGGTTTGATGGAAGAGAAAACATCACCGCTGGCTCGAGAAAACATGTGAAGTCCCCTGAAAGGACCTGGAAGAGCTCAGCTCAGGACGTTACCCCGAAAACCTGGACGGATGGTCTCATTATCTATGCTTACGTGGACTTAAGTAATTGGAATAAACGGCCAATTGGGATTAAAATGTGTCGTGTAGACCAGTGGTTCCCAAACTTTTCAGCTTTTGACCCACAAAATACCAACAGCAGAGGCCTGTGCCCCCAGTTGTTGTCGGTTGATGAGCATTGTTTTGATTTGATTTGATTTATTGATTTAACAGGRAAAGATTACTAAAAATCAAGCCTGACTCAGCATAATTGCTGTTTTACAGCAGGTTCCTGTTCTGCAGCACATAAAACACTCAGAAATACAGCATAATCACATCATTATACGACACAAAGACAAACAAGCATACCAAATTTCAGGAAGGCAGCGTTTGCAAAATAGGACATCTAAATATGAGCACAACAAAAAGTGTCCAGCAGATGGCAGACAAGATTCTTCTTAAAGGGCTGTAGTTTTGAAATGGACTTTATGTTTTGAGGAATGTCATTCCATGCTTTAGTATAAACATAGAAGAAAGACCTCTGGCCGTAACAGTTTTTAAAAGTTGGTTTTCATGTCAAATAAACAAGAGCATAGCAACATTATTTATTACGGTATTTTTGTCCATTTTATGTACACCAATCTTATTATTTTGTAAAAACAAAAGGAAAAATGTTCTTAGTTGCCATTTTTTTGTGTAATTAATTCAAAAAATATTTTCAGGACCCCACTGCCTTTCCCTTTGGGAACCACTGCCCTAGTACCCCCTCTGTCAAACACAACAACTGATTATTCAATGAAAATTATTTATTTAACTTTCCTAGAATGTTTAATTCTCAGACATTTTATTATTTTCAGCTCAAATTAAACATAAAAATAAAAATGTTGCCTTGAAAGTGAACAAGTAATTAAATAATGAAACCAGGTAATGGCAGGTGAAGGAAGCAGCAGGATCCAAAATACATCAAATACCCCAAATAACCAAATTCCATGAGATTCCACATTTTATACTGGATTCCATTTTGTGTCAATTTCGTGATTACGGTTGCATTTTCCACATTGTGGGGCCCTACATATCTCAGTCCTATTTTTATTAATTTTTTTGCAAACCTGGTAAATTTTTCCAGCCCCTGTAATATGATCACGTACCCCAAGAGGTACACGTACCCCTGGTTGGGAATCACTGGTCTGGACGCCCCAATACTCTGATCTGATTCAGCTCCATCAGAATGAATTTGTCATCTGAATGAGAGGTTCATGCAGATTGATCATCTGAGCGGCGTGCAAGTAAACATTGATTCTGGTTGTGGAAAACTGACTTGACTGAGAACGTGAACGCGAAATCACCCTGACGTATTTGCACCTGGCTACATGCTAATATGTCGTATTGGTTAGCAATACAACATTTCTTCAAAAGCGTAGGAACACGGAGCGCAGTAACGTCTTTGTTCATGTTCATCACAGAGTGCTGGGCGGTACACCAGTTCATACCGAAAAACATTTTTTATTTTTGTCATGATGTGAATTTTCTGAATAGCGACTCAGAGGTTTAAGTAGCCGGAACACGTTCGGAACGTTACATCATACGTCAGCGAACTGTTTCACGGGGGACACTTTTCCTCGCAGCACCGCTACATGCATTAGCAAGCTAGCGGCTTCTCAGTAAATGGCTGTTTGGCGATTCCGCTGCTTATTAACTGACTTTTAAAAAAACGCTCCTGTTTTCGCCATTGCTGAAAGTAGTACACCTCTTCAGTGATGTTTACGGATAGATTTCATGTGCGACATTAACGTATAGAGCCGTTAATGTGCTTCTATTGTGAAAAGCCCGGAGGAAGTGGTTTTGTACTCGGGTTGAGTTAACTGGTACACAGAGGCTGAGTCATCCTGTTAAGTTTTAAAAAAAAAAGATAAAACCCGATAATAATCTTTGATCAACCCTCCTCCTTCACAACCAGTAAGGAACATGGGATAAATCTTGTGCCAGCAGGAATTGAATTTGATGCGATGTACAGTAAATGTAACATTTTCTACATATAGGTCAAATTAATCACTGCAATAAAATAACTTTTGCTGTGTCCAAAATGGCAGGCCGGGTCCTCCGAAGGCCGAATTTGTCGGCTGCATACGTCACAGCGCCATGACGAAGGACGTCCAAAACCGAAGACTCCTCCGATGCGGCCGACAAATACGTCCTTCCTTTGGTCCGAATCGAAGGACTGGTCCGATGGATCCTTCCTGGTCCAGCGTATTCCATAATGCATTGCGGCCCGACCGGAGATTTTTTTATGCTAGTAATGGCGGACGAAGCGAGAGAATAGAATACATTTTAAATAAAAATATGGTGATATAAAAATTAAAAATTTAGCGGTTGTAATTCTAATACTTTTATCATTTGTATGGACATGTTTTTAATTATTATTTTTGTCATTAAAAAATGCAAAATAAACATGCACCTACAGCGGGTCAGTTAGTTCTTCAAATGTTACCTTAAAGTTAATTTTATAGTTTTGTGATATTAATAATGCTAATGTATTGATATTTTTCTAGTTTTAAGTTTGCTTGTTTAGCGTCGTCACAGTTGCTAGGTGACATGACGTACGCCGGGGTAAGGAGGGGAGGCTAGACCGTCCAAATTCACAGCCTCTTTTTTTACGGTCTTCCCGGTCTACAAAGGACCCTGCCCGCTGCGACTGGGTAGTCTGGGTCCTCCGGAGGATCCGGCCAGTCGTTTTGGACACAGCCTTTGTCTGTTTTTGTCGCTTTTACAGTGGATTGCATCAACTCTGTTACATACAGAAGGGAAACTTCACCAAAGTGAAACATAAATCTGTGGATCTGTGTTTGATTACACTGCCTGGCTTTCTCAAGGACCAGGATGTGACACAAAAATCTGAATTATGGAACTGAAAGTGAAAGTAGTCAAACTGAGTTTTTAATAAACCAAAATACAGTTTCAAAGCAAATTAGTTCAAATTCAAAACTTTAAATTCAGTTTCAATTTAGTGAAATTTATTTTCAAACGAATGCATTCAGTTTCAAATTATGAACATTCAGATTCAATCTGAACAATTCAAATTCGACTCCTGCTGGCACAAGATTGATCATATAAGGGAAACAGCAACACGATGATACAAAAGTCAATAAATAGTTCCTGCAGAAAGAAAGTAACGTCAGCTGACGGTGATTTGCTAATCATTAGGCAACGTTTGTACTTTTTATTATCAGCTGAGCTATAATGAAAAGGAAAATACAGTGAGTCCTGGAAAAGTAAATTATCCTTTAAAGTCTTACATTTCTTCTCAGGCCAATCAAAATACCATGATACTGGTATAATTGTGAAAAATACCAGTATATAAAATTTGGATCATACCTCCCAGCTCTAGTAGAACTTCTTCTTCTGTGGTTTAAAATGTAAACTTTACAACTCTGTGAACATCATTTCTACTCCTAATAAAAGCCAGGTGAATGTTAATGCTTGCCATGATCGTATTAATTAATTTTATGCCCATATAAATGATACAGTTGGATTATTTAATCCAAATACCTTTCATTTTTCACATGTCAACATAGCTAGAGTCTTATACCTTTCTTTACGGTTGTTGAGTTTACTTTTCAAACACCACCAGTACCTGTTTCCTCGTCCGCGTCTTCCCCGTTCTCAGTTTGATGTATCTGGCTATCAGCTCGTTTCGACCTGGAGGAAACAAATAAAAAAAAACACACACACAGATGAAACACTGAGCACCTTGTCTTTGCAACACACACACTTAACTCATCGTCCTTTCTCAAAGACAATCAGGAATCAGACAACCTGACAAACAACTTAGTGTCTGATTAAAAGCTGTTGACCCAGTGATCCTGTGACGTGCACTTTCACATGGAAACGCTGTAATCACCGATACCCCTGTTGAGTTTTACACACACGCGCACACACACAAATCCCACACATCATGGCCCTGAATACACATGACCCAACAATACAGGCATTCATGCGGACTGGCCATCCCCTGATTAAAGGAACCAGCAGGCCAGCTGTACCCGTGCTTATGTGTGTGCACGTACAAGCACACACTCGCACACACACAGACACACACACACACACACACACACACACAGACACGCTTACAATGCTGCATAATTCAGTCCATTCACAAGAGAGCACAGCAAACTCAGCATGACCTGGCTAGTATAGATTAGTGAGGGAAAGAGGGCACGGAAAGAAAAAAAACTTTAAATCCAGGAAACCTGCGACAGAAAGGAACGTTTGTGTTTTCACACACACATGCGGTTACACACGTTTACACAACCGTGTGAAATACGGTTTTGTTACACCTCCAGCCAGGCCGCTGTACAACTCCAGAGCGATTTAAAAACTAGAATTGTAGATAATCTGTGGAAACAAGTCGTTTCTCTGTAATTGCGTTTGCTAACAAGCACTTTGGGGGCCGTGGGGCTCGGTTTGGTTCTGGTTCTGGTTCTGCTGGCCCGCTTTTCTGTTGCAACCGAGTGGAAAACCAACGTGGGGCCAGCTGGCCAACTGATGGTCAAGATCTGCACAAAGCCAAACCTCTACACACTACCCAAATGGCTCACAACAATAGCCCTAACTAACTAGCAGATGGCGATTGTGTGTGTGCGTGTGTGTTTGTGCGTGTGTGTTTGTGTGTGCGTGTGTGTGTGTTCTGACCAGCACCAGTGACACGGAGATAGGGAGCTTAGGCTGATAAAATCTACAGCTCCCCGTGCAGGTGTTTTCCTTCTAGCAGTGAGACTGACGACAGCGCACACACCCACGTACCAGCGCCAACACATACACACACACATACACACACACAAACGTGCGCGCGCGCTCGTGCACGCAGAGTGAGTCCTGGCTGCGGAGGCTGACATCTGACTCCAGAGGGGCCAGCTGGTCTTTCTAGGAGGCTTAACGGTGAATTATCATCCTTCACTAACCCTGCGGCACACATCCCTCGCTCTTCAGCACACACTCCCCCCACAC